AAAGCTTCCAAAGAAGGAGCCTCCACCACACTCCGGGGCAGAGAGTTCCACTGCTGAACGGCTCTCACAGTCAGGAAGTCCTTCCTCATGTTCAGATGGAATCTCCTTTCTTGTAGTTTGAAGCCATTGTTCCGCGTCCTAGTCTCCAGGGAAGCAGAAAACAAGCTTGCTCCCTCCTCCCTGTGGCTTCCTTTCACATATTTATACATGGCTATCATATCTCCTCTCAGCCTTTTCTTCTTCAGGCTAAACATGCCCAGCTCCTTAAGCCGCTCCTCATAGGGCTTGTTCTCCAGACCCTTGATCATTTTAGTCGCCCTCCTCTGGACACATTCCAGCTTGTCAATATCTCTCTTGAATTGTGGTGCCCAGAATTGGACACAATATTCCAGGTGTGGTCTAACCAGAGCAGAATAGAGGGGTAGCATTGCTTCCCTAGATCTAGACACTATGCTCCTATTAATGCAGGCCAAAATCCCATTGGCTTTTTTTGCCGCCACATCACATTGTTGGCTCATGTTTAACTTGTTGTCCACGAGGACTCCAAGATCTTTTTCACACGTACTGCTCTCGAGCCAGGCATTGTCCCCCATTCTGTATCTTTGCATTTCGTTTTTCCTGCCAAAGTGTAGTATCTTGCATTTGTCACTGTTGAACTTCATTTTGTTAGTTTTGGCCCATCTCTCTAATCTGTCAAGATCATTTTGAATCCTGCTCCTGTCCTCTGGAGTATTGGCTATCCCTCCCAATTTGGTGTCGTCTGCAAACTTGATGATCGTGCCTTCTAACCCTTCATCTAAGTCATTAATAAAGATGTTGAACAGGACCGGGCCCAGGACGGAACCCTGCGGCACTCCGCTCATTACTTCTTTCCAAGATGAAGAGGAAGCATTAGTGAGCACCCTCTGGGTTCATGCATTTAACCAATTACAGATCCACCTCACCGTAGTTTTGCCTAGCCCACATTGGACTAATTTCCTTGCCAGAAGGTCATGGGGGACCTTGTCGAAGGCTTTACTGAAATCCAGGTACGCTACATTCCCCGCATCTAGCTTCAGTGGAGACCCCTTTCCCCCATAACAACTCTTCCAGGAATTAATTTCTCTTCTGAGAGGTAGATATTTTTAGCTTCCTGTTGTGCCACCTTCATTCTCGACTATGAATCATTTGTAAGTCGGGTGTTTGTAACTTGAGGACCGCTTGTACTTTGCCAAAGAGAGAGGACATGGTCCAGAGGAAGAAAATATGGCTCTCATATATAAGTGCCAGGTTCAAACATTACCAGATTTAATCAAAGGATAATAGAAACTAGGAAAGGCACCTTCTTAAGACAATACTGGGCTAGACAGACCTATGGCATGATTCAACATTAGGCAATTTGATATGTTGATATGGAAAAGCCAAACTTGTTTAGAAATGTGACTTGGCCACATACCATGACATTCTGGTCTTTGTCACTTGAAAAATGCTATTTCCTTCCTTCAATAACTAACCAATTCCTTTGCACTCTAGGACAGTGTGTGTACATTGTGAACCTCTGGATTAGTTTTGATGACATCAGTGATGATGAACCACACATCCCCCCCACTACCACTATGTAAACCATATGAATGTTTATTTTTACATCCATTTTAGACGTCTGGAGAGACTGAATCTTCCCTGCAATACCACTTCTCTACAGAAGCACTCACAGTGTGTTGTGAATTTTAGTAAGCAAGGTAATGTAATCTTCGAAAATCCCCTTCCTGTTGTCCTGCTCCCAATTCAATTTATTTTGCATGTTTAGGTATAGACTGATCAAGAGTTAGCTTTGCTCCTGTATATATGTGCAAGGCAAATACAAATACTGTAATTGTTGATCCGAGTCTTCTTGGTTGTTGCTGTTCATTCATTCAGTCGTTTCCAACTCTTCGTGACCTCATGGACCAGCCTACGCCAGAACTCCCTGTTGACCGTCACCACCCCCAGCTCCTTCAAGGTCAATCCAGTCACTTCAAGGATCCCATCCATCCATCTTCTTCACGTCACTTCACTTCACTTTATTTCTTAATTAGTCGCTCTCCACCAAGGTGCTCCAAGCGACTTACAATTTAAAATAGCATTTCACAATATAAAAACATTCAGCATAAAAACATTCAACAGTGACTATTTGGCAAATTAGATCTGATTACTTAAATGCACAACCAAACAGCCAAGTCTTGAGCGCTTTTACAAAAGGTCACAACTCCGACATTGCTCTAACGTATGGAGGCAGTGAGTTTACCCTTGGTCGGCCCCTCTTCCTTTTCCCTTCCATTTTCCCCAACATAATTGTCTTCTCTAAGCTTTCCTTTCTTCTCATGATGTAGCCAAAGTACTTCATCTTGGCCTCTAGTATCCTTCCCTCCAATGACCACTCGAGCTTTATTTCCTGAAGTATGGACTGGTTGGATCTTCTCGCAGTCCAAGGCACTCTCAGAACTTTCCTCCAACACCACAGTTCAAAAGCATCTATCTTCCTTCGCTCAGCCTTCCTTATGGTCCAGCTCTCACATCCGTAGGTTACTATGGGGAATACCATTGCTTTAACTATGCAAATCTTCGTTGCCAGTGTAATGTCTCTACTCTTCACTATTTTATTGAGATTAGACATTGCTCTCCTCCCAAGAAGTAAGTGTCTCCTGATTTCCTGGCTGCACTCTGCATCTTCTTGGTAAAGTGTAGGAAAACAATAAATGATGCTATGTCATTATATTCAAAGTTTAGCTATCTCCCACATCTAGTAGCTAATGAAGGGGAATGAAAACTGTGGGAATGAATAAGTATGGTGACATTCTATGACAGATTTAAGTTTTTTAACACATTGAGACTCTATGGCAGTAGGGATTCAGATAGATAGCAGCAATGTTTTTCTTGTAAAAATTATCTAGTTTGATCTGCAATTTTAGGACTGTCATCCAACAAAAAGATTAAATTTTGCCTATAAGACTCAGATATGTTTCTCATTTATAGAATTGTCTATCATTCTTGTTTTTAAAATGTATGGTGAAATATAACACTCTTCTATTATGTACAATTTCAGCAGAAGCAGCATAGTGGAGTGACTTGGCTGTCAGACTCTGAGAGTAGAATTCAAATCTCTTCTCAGCCATGGAAACACACTGGGCAAGTCATACCCCTTCAGTCTCAGAGGAAGGCAGTGGCAATCCTTCTCTTCAGTTCACTTCAGTTCACTTCACTTCACTTTATTTCTTAATTAGTCGCTCTCCACCAAGATGCTCCGAGTGACTTACAATCTAAAATAGCATTTACACAATATAAAAACATTCAACATAAAAACATTCAGCAGTGACTATTTGGCAAATTAGATCCGATTACTTAAATGCACAACCAAACAGCCAAGTCTTGAGTGCCTTTACAAAAGGTAGCAACTCCGACATTGCTCTAATGTATGGAGGCAATGAGTTCCACAGAATTGGAGCATAGGTCGAAAAAGCTCTATGCCTTGTAGTTTCCAGGTGTACCTCCCTAGGGCCCGGTATGTATAGGAGATTTTCCTGGGTGGATCGAGGTGGAAAAAAGGAATGAGGTGGTCCCTAAGATATAAAGGTCCTTGGCCATTTTGAGCTCTAAATGTCAGGATTAGTATCTTGTAAGAGATCTGATATTCTATTGGTAGCCAATGCAGTTGTTGCAGAATTGGTGTAATATGGGATCTTATAGATGATCCCGCTAACAGCCTGGCCACTGCATTTTGGAACATCCAAATCTTCTGAGTTGTTGAGTTCGGAAGGCCGGCATACAAGGTGTTGCAATAGTCCAACCTTGTGGTGACTGTTGCGTGGATTACTGTTGCCTATGCTTCTACTGAAAGGTAGGATGCCAATTTCCTTGCCTGGCAAAGATGAAAAAAGGCCTGCTTACTTATGGCAGTGATCTGGGCCTCCATCGTCAGCGATGAGTCCAACACAACCCCAAGGCTTTTAACAGTGGCAGATGGAACCAGAGCTTCCCCATCGAAATCAGGCAGAGACTGGGTTAATTCTGGCGGCTGGCCGGGCCAGAGTATCTCAGTTTTTTCAGGATTCGCTTTTAGTCTGCTCACTCGCAGCCAACTCATCACTGCTTCCAAACACAGTTTAAAGTTCTCAGGAATCGCAGTTGTCCCAGGTTCGAGACGCAAGAGTAGCTGGGTATCATCTGCATACTGGTAGCACTCTATGCCAAAGCTCTGTACCAGTCCAGCAAGTGGCCGGACGTAGATGTTAAATAACAGGGGTGAGAGGATAGCACCCTGGGGAACTCCACAGCAAAGGCAGGAGCTCTCAGAGCTTTGGCCTGACCACTCCACCCTCTGTCTCCGGTCCCGGAGGAACAAACTGAACAATTTCACGGCTAAACCTCGTACACCAGACTCTGAAGAAACATTGTCAAGGAAATCCAGTAACACACTTCAGTTTAAGTCAGAATCCACTTGAAGGCAAACAATAACCGTTTCAGCATAGTGCAGTATCCTAATGCTTCCAGTTCAGAACATTTGCATTAATTTTGATCCCAGGTAAATATCTAACATTTTCAAAACATGCAATCCCCCCATACCAGATGCATACCATGTACTTTGACATATTCCAGTGAATCAGTGGTCATCCAGATGCCCTGTATAATAAATCTTGTTTTGAAATCATACATATAACAAATGCACTAATGCCAGTTTCCTAGAATTCTCTTGCAAAATTTTCTTTCGTTGATCTTAACTTGCCAAAAGAAGGAAGCTTTCCTTTTTATTTGCAAACCTTTTCGCAGTTCCTTGGTTTTGTATTAGCCAATCTCTCTGTGGTTATGTTGCAATTAATTAGAGCTTGTTAAGTCATTGAGATTCTTGAATGAAAGGTATTATGTATAAGGTGCATAAAGCACTGTTATGGTTTTGATTCCTCCCTTGAAATCATGCTACAGGGTGAAACTTTTGTCACCCGGACTTGTCTAACTTGTTTTATCAAACTTGTTAGTGACTTCTTTTTTTGCCCTCCTAATCCAGCCCATAAAGAATCAAATTCACAACACAATGCCACATACTCTATTGTGAATGGAGCCCCGTGGAAGAAAGGGCTCCTTAGCTACAGGAGCTTGCGCCCACTGGTAAGTGCTTTTTGCCTTTTAAAAACTTAATATAAGAAAGAAAGACCCTGCCGAGACAGACCTGGAAGCTCAGCTCCATCTGAGAGACAGTGTTCCTGTTGGCTAAGTAAGACTTTGTGACTAAATGTATGTTTTTATTATGATTATGGTCACTGTTTTAGTCTTGAAGACAAAAACAGTGACCATGTAAGCCGCCCGAGTCCCCATTGGGGAGATGGTGGCGGGGTATAAATAAAGTTTATTATTATTATTATTATTATTATTATTATTATTATTATTGCTACTACTATTGACACAAAAGCACAGTATGTCACAGCAAACGAGATCTCTGTGCTGGATTTCATATCACAAATTCACAAGTCGAACACTTCCCAAGCGTCTAGGACTGTGTGATGTATTATTATTATTATTATTATTATTATTATTATTATTATTATTATTATTATGTGTTTAGGGGAAAGTGAAAATCGTTCCCATTGAAGGAAGAAGATTAATCTTTATGGCCACCTTCCATTGGAAAACAGTCTGTGAACATTTTTGTTGGCTACTCTAAGTTTGCTGTAACTGTTTACAAAAACAAAAAAACTGAAGCAAGACAAATAAGTGGAAATGCAAATCTGTGTGTCTCCTTATTTCTCTTGCTAAGGCTATTATCAGTGTGGGCTTAAGGGAGAAAGGGCAGTAAGCAAGACAACTAAAAATCCATGCCGTGGTCTCTGTGTATACTCTCTATGAATCAAGTTCCACTGAACTCAGTGGAAATATGTTTAGGACAATGCAGGATTTTATGCTCAGTGTTGCATTTTATTTGTGGATATCACGATCATTAGGGAGCATTTGGATTTCTACTGGATTTTCCATTTAAGTCTCTTCTCCTCTTCTCCCTTCCCTTCCCTTCACTGAATTGTGCCAGATACATACAGCATCCCTTATTTCCCCCCTTGTTTTCTCAGCACCTGCCTTTTATGATGTGCTTATTTATACTGTTTCTTGTATTTTATTTCCTTATATTGTATTGTTATATTCTTATGTGTATATTAGCTGTCCCCTGCCACGCGTTGCTGTGGCCCTGTCTGTGTATATGTATTTTTTTGTGTGTGTGTATGTATATATGTGTAAATATGTTGTTTTGCGGATGCATAGTAATGTTTTTGACTTTTTTAGTCTCTTCTGCTGTGTTTTTCAGTGTTTTTGTGAGTGATGGTCACTTGTTGCTGGCCTGATATATGTACCGGTATTTGTCCAAATTTGGTGTCTATTCGTCCAATGGTTTTTGATTTATGTTAATCATAAATACACAGACAGTATTTTATTTATTTTTATAGGATGTCTTTAGCAGTGTTTTTTTATACTTTTTTAAAAATGCCACAACCCCTTAATGCAGTTCCTCATGTTGTGGTGATACTGTTTTCATTGTTCCTTCTGCAATTTTACTCCTGTTCTGAATCATCATGTAAATATCTGATATGCAAGATATATTTATGTTGAACGTCTTTGGCAATACATTGTATTTCTGTTGTTATAAATTGAACTTAATGAAAGCATACTGATTAATCACAAAAACAATACGTTTGGGGAGTATGAACAACAGATGATGGGATTTGGAGTACCTTCAACTGATTCAGCTCAGATTTCCACAAACATGAATGACAGATCTGATCCAAACTTGGCCCACAGAACCTTCATGACCAGCAGAAAATACTGGAGGAGTTTGGGAGGAATTCACAGTGATAGGATCTTAGAGTTGCAAGAGACCTCCAAGGGCCATCCAGTACAACCTCCCTCTGCCATAAGGGAAAAACACAATCCAAGCACTCCTAACAGATGGCCATAGAGACTCTGCTTAATAATAATATTATTAATAGTAATAGAATCCTAGAGTAGGGAGATTGCCAAGGGCCATCCAGTCCAACTTCCCTCTGCCATAAGGGAAAAACACAATCCAAGCACTCCTAACAGATGGCCATTTAGACTCTCCTTAGTAAATAATAATAATAATAATAATAATAATAATAATAATACCTTTCTTCCTCCCTTCCTTCCTCTCTCCTTTCTCTCCCTTCCTTCCTTCCTTCCTTCCTTCTTCCTTCCTTCCTTCCTTCCTTCTCCTTCCTTCCTTCCTTCCTTCCTCTTCCATCCCTGCCTCCTTTCCTTTCCTTCCTTCTTTCTTTCCTTCTACCTTTCCTTCCATTCATATCCTTCTCTTCACCAGACCTTTTCCTCCTGTCTTCTCTCCTTTTTTCCCCTTCCTTCCTCCCTTCCTTCTTTGGCAGTTAAGGGGTTTTTATCTCTCTTTACAGGCCCGTAGCCAGGATTTCGTTTCGGGGGGGGGGGGCTAAAAAATTTTCAGGGGGGGTTTCGGGGGGGGGCTGAGTTTCGGGGGGGGGGCTGAGTCTGAGTGAAAGAGGGTCTAGCCTAGCAAACCTTTTGTATCATTACCCCAATACCCCCATACATATGGGATATATTGAGAATGGTGATCAAATCATGATATTAATAAACATAACAGTTTAAATAATGCACCAGTAAGGCCTTTTCGCGAACCACCATGAGAATTTCGGGGGGGGGGCTGAAGCCCCCCGAGCCCCCCCCCGCTACCTGTCCCTTCACCCAACGGTCCCAAGTTGGGGGGGGGGGTTGAGGGTGTGTGCAGCTGAACCTGCAGCCAGGCTTCCCTTTCAATCCTCCAGTTTTCGTGGGGAGGGGTTGCCTGGGGGCCACTTGAGCCTCAAGGAGCCTCTACGGTGGCTGCCAGGGCTTGCCTCGCCAAGGCTCCACGCCCTCCTCCGTCTCTCCTTCCTTCCTTCCCTCTTTCTTTTCCTCAGGAGTCTGCCTTCCTGCTTGGAGAGGGACTCCATGGCAAGGCAGTCCCTTTCCCTCTCCACGATTGGTGCGCATGTTGGGGAGAGGGCCTCTTGCGCATGCTCAGTTAGGTACTTTTTTGGAGGGGATATTAAAGTTATTTCCCCTTCCCTTTTAAAGATTTTTTTGTTTGGAAGACATAGATTGGATTACAATGTGTTTTGCTGCCAAATTTGGTGCCCATTCGTCCAGGGGTTTTTGAGTTCTGTGAATACCACAAACGAACATTACATTTTTATTTATATAGATTTGCATTGTTGTATTGCTGGGCTTGGCCTCATGTAAGCCACCCGAGTCCCCTTGGGGAGATGGTGGTGGAGTATAAATAAAGTTTTTTAAAATTATTATTATTATTATTATTATTATTATTTATTTATTTATTTATTTATTTATTTACTGCATTTGTTGACCGCCGTTCTCAGCCCTAGGGCGACTCACGGCGGTGTACAACATATAAAAAGACAATTTACAATGAAAGCAATATCATAAACAACAATAACAACATCACTATTAATAATACCATTACACTAAATCATTCGCGACGTCTCATCATAGAATCACAATCCAATCTCGTTATCCATATTCCGTTCCACTCATCATTGCCAATTTGTTGTAGCACTTAGTCAAACGCCTTCTCAAACAACCACGTCTTTAGTCTCTTGCGGAATGTCATAAGGGAGGGCGCCTGTCTGATGTCTACAGGGAGGGTGTTCCACAGCCGGGGGGCCACCACCGAGAAGGCCCTATCCCTCGTCCCCGCCAGGCGTGCCTGTGAGGCAGGCGGGATCGAGAGAAGGGCCTCCCCAGACGATCTCAAGGTCCTCGTGGGCTCATAGGCCGAGATGCGGTCAGATAGGTATTTTGGGCCGGAACCGTTTAGGGCTTTGTAGGCCAACACCAGCACCTTGAATTGGGCCCGGTAGCAGATCGGCAGCCAGTGGAGCTGGAACAACAAGGGCGTTGTGTGCTCCCTGCGTCCCGCTCCTGTTAGTAACATGGCTGCCGCGCGCTGGACTAGCTGGAGCTTCCGGGCCGTCTTCAAGGGCAGCCCCACGTAGAGAGCGTTGCAGTAGTCAAGGCGGGATGTGACCAGAGCGTGTACTACCGTGGCCATTTAATTTCCTACAATAATTCTTTTAAGGTGGGACAGAAAGAAGGATGTGTCATTTCTTTTGACTTGTTGGAAAAAACATTCTATTTTCCCTCTTTCACACAATGAATGAAGCACTGCTTGTGAGAACTCAGCTGTGTAGCGACTTTTGTGTTCAGGCGCTTTCCTCTTGTGATATCAGATCCTTTTGAAAACCAATAAATGGTTGATTTATGTGGAATATACATTGACTTTTAGCAAAGCTTCAAGGGTGATTTACAAGAAATAATGATACTATGCTAATGAAGTTCACGAGGCCCCTTCCACACAGCTGAATAAAATCCCACATTATCTCCTTTGAACTGGGATATATGGCAGTGTGGACTCCAGCCGACATTGTGGGTTATTCCACCTTGATATTCTGGGTTATATGGCTGTGTGGAAGGGCCCAAAGTTAGGTTGAAATTGCTCTTGCTCTTACTATGATGAAATTCTGTTTACAATGATTGTGATGTCTGAATGTGATTTATGCTACAAAATGTCACTATGAACTTTTGGAAGTATATGGAGAAAGTATGCTTTTTAATGCTTTCTGTGGAAAAATCTGAGAGTTGCCATTTGAAACCAATTGTTGAATTAAATAGGTATCTTGGGCATTATCCAACCAAACAATGATTGCATTTATTAGGAGCTGGGAGAATTGTTTCCTCAAGCAAAGGCTTTTGTTGCAAAAATACCAGATATGCCCTTCATTTAAACCACAATGTTTTAATGTCAAAAATTCAGGACCATTTTTCCTATGATTTCTATAATATTTCTAGTGATGTGTAGCTTTTGTGCTCAAGTAGGCTAAAATGGGCCCATATGAGGTCGACACTTTGGCACTTTAGTTGTGATTTGAAGGCAACTAGTTTTAACTACAGATTGTCTGCATTTTAAACCATGTTTTTATTTTATTTTATGTGTTAATAGTGGGTTTTTTAATATAACTTTTATGTGACATTTTTTTATACTCATGTACTGTTTATGTTATATACAACATTTGTTG